GTCCCTTCTTGTGGGGTCTGCAAATGAGTGGGGGCCCTGGAGAGGTTCCCCTGCGGCTCCCAACTCCATTCTAAAAGAGTTTTACTTTATTCAGTTTCACAGTGTATATTTGCATGTAATTGTATATGTTTGTCTATGTGTTTGTATGTGCATGTGTGTTTGTGTGTGTGCCGTGGGTGTGTGCATGTACAGAGGAGTGTATACATGCGTATGTGCATATACACATATGGCTTTGCACACGTGTAAGTGTGTGTGTGTACATGCATGACATGTGCATGAGGAAGAGGAGGGGACTCTGTTGTACCAGGTGCCCCCCAAAGCTGCATCTGCCCCATGCAGACTGCTGTCCCGCTGGGGCGGCCCTTGGCCTCCCTCTGTGTGTCAGCAGTCCTCTCCTGGGCATGCATCTTCTGGTCTGTGGTTTCTCCTACCGTCTGACCCTCCTGCCTGTGTTTGGCAGGGATTTCTCATCATTTTAGGACCACTGAGAAGACCCCCTTTTACACTACCATGGAGTTGAAAGAAAAGTCACAGAGATCCTTTCCTTGCTTCTTAAGGACTTGTAGTGGGTATTTGACCATCCTTTTCTTAAACTTTTTATTGTGGGAATTTTCAAACAGATACAAATAAAATAATAATGAACCCCATGTGCCCTCACCCCCAACTCCAGCAATGACCAAATCATGACTGGTCCTATTTCACCTACCTCCATCTACTAGCTTAGAATATTTTGACAAATGCCAGACATCATATCATGTCATCTACAAGAATTTCAGTGTGAATAAAAGATAAGGATCGAAAAAACACACGTGCAGAACAGCATTGCCACACCTGAGCCAGAATGAACACGACTTTAGTTTTATCAGCCATGCAGTCAGTCTTCATCTCTCCCCCGTGGTCATATACACCTTTAAAAATAATTGCCTTAGGGACGCCTGGGTGGCTCAGTTGGTTAAGCAGCTGCCTTCAGCTCAGGTCATGATCCCAGCATCCTGGGATCAAGTCCCACATCGGGCTCCTTGCTCAGCAGGGAGCCTGCTTCTCCCTCTGCCTCTGCCTGCCATTCTGTCTGCCTGTGCTTGCTCTCTCTCCCTCTCTCTCTCTCTCTGACAAATAAATAAATAAAATCTTTAAAAAAAAATAATAATTGCCTTAGATTGGGACCTGAGAAGTCCGAGTAGAGGACCAAACCCTGTGTGTGCTCTCCACCACCTGCCCACAGCAGTCACAGAGCTGTGGCCCTCAGACCCCACAAGAGCAGCACCCCCAACCCAGCCCTGCGGTCTGTGTACCCCATAGCATCTGAGTAGGCCTGGGGTGAGGGCTCAGGTCCTGGCTGATGGGCTCCGCTCCTGGAACACCTGCATTGGTAGGCACACACTGCGGTCAGACCTGCTTCCCAGGGTTCTTGGCTGAGGCTCTTTTTCCAACTCTGACTCAGTGCTTTTCACTCCCAGGCTTGCCCCACTGCCCCTGACCCCCCGCACCATACACAGGTGGGAGCCTTATATTCAGGGCTCCTCAGGAGTGAGATGGTCCTCCTGCCCGTCTACAGGGCGTCTGACTCTTGCCTTGTGTAACCGTGGGGCAAAATGGAACACTGAGCAGCCGCTGCCTTTCTTCCGTCTCTGGACTTTGCTATGACACTAGATTGTGACTTGCGATTTGGCCCGGCACCCTAAGTGTCCGTGGACACCGGCCGCTTAACAGGATGTACTTAAGTTCACTTCCTTCCACTAACTGACATGCGGTCAAGTCTCTCTCTCTCTTTGTTTTTTTAAAGATGTTATCTATTTATTTGACAGAGAGATCACAAGTAGGCAGAGAGGCAGGCAGAGATAGAGGAGGAAGCAGGCTCCCTGCCAAGCAGAGAGCCCGATTCGGGGGCTCAATCCCAGGACTCTAAGATCATGACCTTAGCCGAAGGCAGAGGCTTGACCCACTGAGCCACCCAGGCACCCCATGGTCGAGTCTCTTAAGTGAGAGATTTCTCAGTCATCTCTTTCTCTCCCCTCGTGACTCTTGGTTTTGATGCCCGGCCCTGCACAGTGGCCCACAGACCGGAGTCTGCTGCTTGCACCCCTGGAATTCATGGGTCCTGTTCTGTGCCTTCTCTGCTCTTGTCCCTGGGATCTAGATCCAGGGGTTTAATCAAGTTCAGGTGCGGTTTTGTTGTTGTTGTTGTTGTTGTTGGTTTTGGTTTTGTGGCCAGCCTCTTCAGGAAGGGACTGGTTGTCTGTTTGTTAAGTATAATTACAAATTCATGGATTTAAGCACTTTTTTGTGTCCCCATTCATGGAAATGGTTCTACTTTTTGCCATGCAAAGCATCTTGTCTTTGGCCAGTGGGAGCGAATTTGAGTTAACTCCTGAATCCTTTAGACTTTGGCCAAGAGTCTTGATCTGCTTTGTTCTCTAGGATGAACAACTATCCCAGGTGTTCTATACATTTCCTAAGCCAGACCTGCAAGCATCCGCTGCCTTCAGGAGCCCCACTTTCTCTTCAAGAGAAGTGGTATCTAGAGACCAAAATCTGGGTGCCTGGGTGCTGGTTTTTAGGTCTTGTCAGTCAGAACTTAGTCAGAATTTAGTCAGAACTAAGATATTAACTTTCCTTTCCAAGAAATGACACAGTCCAAGTACCTACTGATACTATGCACCCAGATTCCGATCTGCATGCTTCTCCCTGGACCTTTTTGAAAATACATCTGTGTCTCATTTATCCCACACAGAAACTTCAACAATGCCCAGAGTCAGTATTCATTTACAATTATTCACAACACAGGGG